TTAATTCATCGAGATCGATTCATTTTTCATCCGATTTGATCTTTGCTTCGTTTTCAAAAATCGAAAAAAAAAAAAAAATTTAATCACGTAAAAACGTGAGGAAACGAAATATCGATACATCTTTAAAAATAAAATTGTACACGTTAGGCCAGTAGCAATAGTTATAATCATCTAGGCATCCTTTTAATAGCAGCACGATCGAATAATAATAATAATAATAATTAATTGCACTTATTTCTCGCGCGTCAATCTCTCGAGCTACGAATGACAAGTGTGGTAAAATTCATATAAAATATTACGATAAAAATTCCTGCGTCCCCATTATTTTTTTTTTTGCTTTTTTTTTTTTTTTAATAAATTCAACATTATTTCTATCTAACATTTATTATAACGGATTGAGAAAGTGAAGAAAAAGAAAAAAAAAAAAAAAAATGAATCGATCGCGACAAGAAGACAAGATATCGCGTGAACTCTTGTTCTTTTTTTTTTTCTTAGATCGAATTGTTGTTTCGCTCATCTGACTTCGCGAAAAGCGACGAGTAAGGTAAAGAAAAGATAAAAGTTGATGGATTAAAACCGCGAATATGATCAATCGATTTTTTTCCCCCTTGAAATACCATGTTTCGTTTGTTTTTTTTCATAGGCCTTGTAAAAATTATTTAACTATTTATGTATATATATATATTATTTTTTTTTTTAATCTATGTTTTATATATATATATATTATTTTTTTTTTTCATATCACCAAATCAACAAATAAATATCCTAAATATATTAAATATCGTATAATATATGTTCTCCCAACAAATAATATATAAGTTCATCTATTTTTTCGTTAATAATAATTCAATATAATTATATAAATGCGTATGAATCTGGATATACATTATTTGTATATACATCTACATACGCAAATATGAATTTATTTATTATTTTTTTATTTATATTTATATATATATATTTTTCATTTCTTTAACTTTTTTTCCCCGTTCATTTATCTATTTTACTCTTTTAAACATTAGGCGCTTTCCTATATACGAAAATTACTACCCTTATATTCCGGGTAGTTGTTCTTTCTTTCTTTCGTTCTCTCTCTCTCTCTCTCTCTCTCTCTCTCTCCCTCTCTCTCATTCCTTATTCCTTAATTTTTTCTTTTTCTTATTCAATTACACAGATGGAAAATTGCATGTAATAAAATCTGAGGAAAAAAAAAATTCTTCTCGTTACAATTACCCTTGGTACGTTTATCCATATGGAAGAAGGAAAAGATACAATTTGCTAAAACGTTGTGACTTTTTTTCAAATTTGAAGAGAGAAAATAAAAAAAGAAAAAAAATGATGAGTTGAGTTAAGTAAGAATGTTTATCGGATAAAGAACGGTCGGTAATTATGTTTCCTGCGGTATTTACGTCGGTAAAACGTGAAGTAATAAAACGTAATAAAAATATAGATACATTTATACCGTTCGAAACGACGACGAATCGTCGACATTTCTCTCCATCTCTTATTAGCGAGATTAGACGTTTAGCAATTAATTTTTCCTCTTCCTGTTATGTTAACATTTAATTAGAAAGAAAAACATAAATTTCATTCGTTCTAGAAAGAAAGTAAACTAAAAATTGAAACAGGCATCGATTCGAATCGTACCTCCATCGTTTCTATGATCGATTTAATGCCTTCCTAAGGGGATTTTTTGCAAGCATTATAAACCGCTTGCAAAAAATTGATAAACAAAACTATCTTTCGTTAATAACAAACGGTGTACGTTTTTTTCTTTTTTTTTTCTTTCTTTTTTTACCAACGAAATCTTCCTTCTTCTTCTCCCTTCTAATTATTTTTCCTATGTAAGTCGCGTACTTGATTACGATTCCTTCCATTCGTTAAGATTGACGTATTTTTCTCTTATATATACATATACATATATATATATATATGTATATATATAAATATTTCTTTTTTTTTTCCTCTTTTGCTTAATTCTTATCTCGAAGATGATTTTTCTAACCAAATAGGCCACCTCCATTCCTCCTTTCGAAAATTGTTTTTTAATTATTTACATTTAACATCCGTGTTATTCGACGATTCTTATACGCACGCACGTGGAAAAAATGGAAATCGTTTTAATCGATAAATGTAAGGCTCGGTTATTTTAACGAGGATAGCTAGACACTTTTAATTTTTCCGTCTCTTTTTCCATTTCGAATAGAAAAATTTTCGATTCTTGTTGTTTTTTTTTTTTTCCTTTCCTTTTCTTTTCTTTTTCAATCGATTCTTACGGATAATAATTGATCTCGAATCTTAACATGATTCGAATGTCTGGGAAATGAACGGGAATTTCGAAAGTCACGTTGCTAGAAAAAATAACGTGTATAAGAGACGTTCTTTCTCAATTCCTCGAAGATATCTAAATTGTTCGTCTAAATTACTCTATATTCGTTCGAAATTTTTTCAAGTATTAACCGAATTGATCCTATATAAGCTGTTTCAACATCATCTCGAAAGTAGTTCCAGCCTTGGGCCAGAATTCATCTCTCAAAAGATAATTCGACTTTTTATCCATTGATCCCTTGAAATTTCTTGTTTTTTTTTTTTTCTTTTTATTTTTTTAAGCTTCTATATGACACAGAACAGTGAAAAAAATCGTTCTGATCCAGTTGAACGGAGGATTGTGTGTTACCGCGTTAAACGATCGAATCAAAGAAAATTGGAGGGGAAATTGAGCCAATCGAATGGGAATAATAATTCGAAGCTTCGACGAAGCCGAGAGAGGACGAAGCAAGAAGATTAGCAGTGGCAAATCGCAAAAAGAGCTCGAAGTTGAATTGAACGGTGAGAAGTTGTTCGGATATGGCCGCCCGTTCAACGCGCCCCTATCACCTCTCACTTATCCTCGGGATTCGCTCTTGGTGATCTTTCCGTTTCCTGTCTCTCACTGCGAACAGAGTATTATCAACCCTTCCAGACTTCTTCTTTTCCTTTCCTTTTCTTCTTTATCCCCTATTTATATATATCTATACGAATGTATTTGATAAAAATTTTGCACTTCACGTTATTAGATCCACGTAATTGTTCACTGATGGAAACAAGTCTCGCGATGGAAGGAGTGCAGGGTTTGGATTGGTTAATTTGGAAGGAAACGCCTATTTTCACACCCATTTTTCTTTCTACCGTGATATTTGTCACATATATCGATCCAAATCAATGATTTTGTATTTAAACTTCGATGCATATCATAATTTAGAATATTCTAATCGATATAATATACAAATTTTTTTATTTATCATAATATTGTTTACGATTTCTAAATGTAATTTCGTATTCGAATAGTTAAAATAATAATTGTACGTATATGAATAAGCTAAACTATAAATATATTAATAGTTTCGAAAATATTTCATACTTCCAGTCTTAAATGATTATTCTAACGTAACTTTTAAAAAATAAAAATAATTTTTACGATTTTGAAGATTATAGCTTATCTACTATTACTATGTAGAGTGTATCAAGTTTGTCAACAAAGCGTCTAAAGTGGGGATAGGCGGTACAAGCGAAGGACTTCTTTTGTCCTAGTACCATCCTAGCGAGACTTCTTTTCAGCAGTGAACAAAAATATTATTCACTGCTGGAAAAAAGTTTCGCAGAAGGAATGCAGAATCTGATTGGTTAAATTTGGAAGGAAACGCCTATTTTCACACCCATTTTTCTTTCTACCATGATATTTATCACACATAACAATCCAAATCGACAATCTGTATTTAAACTTCGATACAGTATAACCATAGAATTCAGAATATTCTAACGTATCGATATAATGTAAAAATTTTTTTATTTCTCATATATGTAGATTATGATCCATATATGATAGTTTAATTTATAAATGTAATTTTGTATTCGAGCAGTTAAGAAATAATTCTACGATTATAGCTTTTCTATTATGTATATTCTATTATGTATATTATGTGTATTATTCTATTATGTATATGTAGCGTGTGGTGTCAGGTTTATCAACAAAGCGTCTAAAGTGGGGATAGACGGTCCAATAGGAATCCTCTTGTTTCAGTCTTCCTGCGAGACTTCTTTTCAGCAGTGAACAGAAATTCTTAGGCGCGTACGAAAAATTGCTCCTTCGAAATATTTATTTCCACTTTGTGTATAAAATTTTTATCCAATATACATACGTGTACATATATAGTTCCATGATATAATTAATATTTAACATCTAATTAAATTGACCTTTCAAAGATTTGTATTTTTTGTCGCGGTTAAAATTGTCTTGGATTTTTATTAAATTAATTTTCAAAACTTCTTAACACGAAATTCCGTCGAATTCGACTGCAGCTTTTTTCAAAAAAAAAAATTATCAAGTATAGTTATTGAAATGATATATTAATTTAATAACAAATATGCGACGAACAAGAAATGTTTACACGCAATAACGAATAAGGAATAAAGAAAACATTTCATTTTCCGTTGTAATTGAATCGACGCGTATTTAACAATTTTTCAATTGACGACATCGCTCGAAATTATATTTGCCTTTTTTTTTTTTTTTGAAAATCATCAGACCATAACTGCGTATTTTCTATTCAATGAAGACATTCGAAAATTTAAAAAATATATACATATATTTGACTTGAACTAATAATTGACGGGGGTTGTGTATTTTAAGAATGGAAAGAATTTCTTTAATTTAGAATTTTAAATAGATCGAACGCGACTAAAAAGAATGCAATTTCATGCAAATACGCAAGAAAATTGACCACCTGAAAAAAAGAGCGGCCGATTTACATTTTCATTTATCGGGACGTCAAACGTCGTAAATAATTTAGATACCACTTTTAAATGCAAACACGAGCCGTTTTCCCCTGTCGCAGTTTTTCACCGCGAACGGTTATTACAGCCATTCAATCGATATGCCGATTAATGAGCAAAAATAAGTGAAAATCAAATATTTCTTTGATCAACGTACGCGCGTACGTTGATAAAAATTAAAAAAAAATGTATTCCTCAAAATGGAAAGGAAAAGAAAATGATGATATGATATTTTAATCATATTATTTGAACACGATAAAGTTAAGTCTTTTACGAGAACAAGGAGAAAAAGAAAATATATATATATTTTTATTAATTAAAATTATTAAACTTATTTATTTATTAACTTTTATTAAAATTATTTGTAATTTAAATCGATTCGATGGATTAAATGGAAAGAAATTGAACGAGTTCTCGTAAATTTGATGAAAGTCTCATCTTCCGTTTGAGGAAAATATAAAATAAGAAAAGAATATAAATAAGAAATTGAATTAGACTTACCAAATGTATCTAATAGATTTCATCTTGAGCGCTGTCGAGTTCTCCTTGCATTTGTAAGCCAACACTTGCTTCACACTGCTCACATCGACTGTGGGAAATCTCGATGTCACGTAAGCTTTAAAATTTCAATAAAAAAAATATACTTTCACCAGATGCGCTAAATTAAATATCATTTTCAGCGCTTTCAACCGCTATTACTACTTTATCCAGTTTTTACATTCGTTTTACACTCGTGTCTTTATTATATCAAATTATACGTATTAATACTTATATAACGCTTAATATTTTCTTTGAAATCTACGTTTCTTTTCACATTACATTACTTAAATCTTTTTCTCATCTTTCACATTTCGAAATAATAATAATTGAACGAAAAAAAAAAAAAAAAAAAAAGAAAAAAAGAAAAAGATGGGAAAATTTTAAAAGATGAAAAATTGAAGAGAACCAATTCAACGTTATATCAAATTTTATCATCATTTTATCTGTTTGAGAAATAAAATAGAAAAATAAACACGAACGTTTTAGCACTGATATTTACGAACGAATAGATTTAACATCTTTTTTTTTTTGTTCGTATATTTCGATATTTCTCGCAATTCGGAAGAAAAATAGAACGAAGAACTAGATTTTGCTAAGAGGCGAGATTTTATAAAGTGAAATTCCAATTCTTGAACGACCTATTTTCAATCCGAGTAAATGTTTAGACATCGTCGAAGAGTAGTCACCGCTCTATTCTCGGATATCCTGCGTTTACCACATTTCTTCATACGTCTACATATTCTGCGTTCCTTTCCCATGCATCGTTTCATATTCGATTGTTCCGTGAAATTTCTCCAAAATCGATATATTTTTAGCCAAAGCCATTTTTTTTCCAAACAATTTTCATTTAAAATTCGCGAAAATTATTGCTAAATTAATTATTACTAAGAAATCAAAAAACAATATAATATAACATTTATTTGATAAATTTTCGAAGCTAAATTCTCTTACAAGTGCTGACACCTATACGATATTATGACAAAACATTTATTTCTCTCTAACTTAAATACGCGCGAATATTATATCACGGTGCATCGATAAAGAAACGTATTAATTCCGTCAACTATTCACAAAGATGCTCGTAAGATTGCTACGTGTTTAATTAGTTTTGTTTGAAAAAAAAAAAATGAAACTCGATTTAAATCTCGTAACTTCGCGTCGTTGCATAACAGCAACTCGAGCGAGTGACTCGAAGAAAAATTCTTAACCTATTCATCGTTAGTTATATTTCATCAATGTCGATTTATTATTTTGTGAAACAAAATACCGGTCTGCGAAAAAATAAAACTTGTTACTCTTTTTTATTTCTGTTTTCTCTCTCAGAAATTTTATTCCTTCCTTCCTTTATCGTATTATACGCACGAGTATCAACTTTCAGAATACGAAAATAGAGGTATAAATAAACTCGTGCAATTTCATATCTTTAAACGTATTTTTTCGTAAACTTATCATCCCAAATATTTGTTCTAATAAATAACGCAGCTTAGAAACTAAACATTAAGAATTACTTACATATGATAGCCTGGACTTTGGCCTTATCCAAGGCAGGTTTCACCGGTCTCTCAGTGGCAGTCCCAGCTCGACTCCATCGTTGCCCCGTTACCGAGCAAGTGGCCAACTCGGTAGGGCTGAACAAAATTGCAGCCAGGCCACGTGTCAATTTCCTGTAATCGCTCCATTTCACAGCCCTTAGTTGTTCCTCGCAAATTGCTATTCCCTCCCCCAGGTGCACCTATCGAATAAATAATACACGATACGTTTTATCACGGATTTGCAAACTTTTTTAAAATCGAAATATTTATCGTACAAAATATCGAACAACACGTTGGCTGTCAAAAACTAAAGCAGTTGTAAGATCAATATCAAAGAGAGGAGAGGGGATATAAGATCCAAATTAGTCCGTTTAAGGCTGTAGAGGTTAAAAAGCGGAAGAGAATGCGGCAAGATAATATAAATATAGATTTGGAAAATTTACCACGCCGTCGGAAGAGGATTCCTCGAAACCACGGAAAGCAGGCATCGCAGCAGGAGGAGTAGTTCTCATGTCCAAGGGTAACCATTCGCTCCTCGATGGCGAATTGCCTTGCACGGACGGGGATCCATGCTTTCCACCTCTCGTTCCAAGCCGCGGCCTGCCGCGGCGTACCCTTCGACCTGAATAAGCATTTTTCACACATGTACTCGCTTCGCCTCTCTTCTTTACCAACATATCTCTATCATTTTCCATCGTTTAAAAACATATATATTTTTGAACGAAAAAAAAGAAAACTTTGCATCAATTATTTTCGTACACTCGAGAAACGTGATATCAATTTTTCAACGTGTGTTGTTTAAATACAAAAACAAACACACGATGTGGATGTGGATCTGGTTTCGCAAGTGCGAAAAGTTTGAGAACTAGTTTAAGCACATTACACGTGTACGTATAAACTTTAAATATCGAAATCACGTTTACACCAAGTGGAAACGGAAAACAATACTTCGTTAGATTGGTAAGTTTCAATCTCGAAATGCAAATTCAATTAAAGCTTAGACCAAAAGTTTCGAGATAAATGTATTACTCGAAGGAAACGGTTACAAGCAACGATATGTCCCATCCTTATCCTTTCTATAAAGGGATAAAAACTGGAAAAATTTTTATTTTATGATGATAAAATCAAAAGAAAAAAAAAAAAAAACGTTAGGAATAAGTAAAAAATAATTGAGAGATATATATTTGTATAAAGAGATCATTCGCGAAATACCATCTTCGAATACGTTTAAACAAACATAATAAAGAGAATAATTTTTTTTTAATTGCAAAAAGGAGACAAATTCCAATCAGAAAGCGATTCTTCCTTAATTAAAGAGCAAAAGGACAGAGAGAAAGAGAAACGAAGAGGGCAGAGTGGGAAAAAAATATTCCTTTGTAATTATCATTTGAGAATACCCTTCGTTTCTAATACCCTAGTTTCGATATCCTTCGCGTTCAATCGACTAATCGATCGTTGATAAATTACAGATTTCTCGACAAAGATATATCCGTTTTCGGTAACGCCATTTTCTTCTTTTTCTTTTTTCTTTTCTTCTTCATCGACCCAATAACGTTGATAACACATATTTCACCACGCTATATTCGTCGTTGAAAATGATTTAACTTTGAAAGGCAATTCTATGTAAAAATATAATTTATATAAACCGATTTATTTATAAGAAATACTTGTCGTGATGTTATAAATTATTTTCACACAATGAGATCGTCGTTCCTTCTTACATTTCACATCCTTCCACTTAAACTTAAAATTAATAATTGAATTTGAAACTTGGTTATTTTATTTCGTAAAAAGTATTTAATTGGAAGTGAGCAAGTAGTTAAACTATATGCCGTAATTGTTATTGTAGGTTGTGGCAAATATTAAAAGCCGTATAATTATTACGTGTTCGAAACGAAATTATTCGATTACACACACACGTGCGCGCGCGCGCGAGAAAACGCGTATTTACCTTAAGAGACGTTTCGTTTGAAGTAACTTAAAAACGATCTTATCACTTATGCACGTATATATATGTACAATTATTATTCGAGGATTAAAATAGGATAAAAATAAGATTGATAAATCTATGAAAAATTTCAATTCATCGTCGACGAATTAAAAATCATTTTCAAAATGATAATAAAAGAAACAAGCGAGAGAACATCGAATTTAAAATTCGAAAAACGTAAATAACTCTTGACATTTTTTTTGGGGAGGGGAAAATATAATTTAATCATCGAAATTGAAATTAATCTCTATCTACGATTCGTAACACGATTTCCTGTTTGATTAAAATTTTTTTTTTTTAATCGAAATTCTTTTCTTTGGATAAATAATAAACAGATTATTAAAAACAGATTATTAAAAAAAGAAACAAGAAAATAATTAATTAATATCGAGGGTGTCGTACAAATTTGAATATCCTTTATTCACCGATATATCTTCGCGCTGATCGAATCGAAAGGTTACAATCAATCGGTGGATTGGTGGAAACACCGATACAAGTAAAACGCATCATTATTTTGAAAAGCATTTCAATCTCAAGGTTGAATATGTTGATTATCATTTGTATTAAATATCTATCGTTTCGATTCTTTGAAAAAAAAAAGGAACAGGCTTTTTTTCTTTTATCGAGAAAAAAGTTTGTTTGTCTTTCTTCTAAAATTCGAGAATTCTTCAAGCACGATATATAATATTGCCGCGCGAATAACAAGAACGATAACTCTGTTAATTAATTGTTGGATGATGCTTTATGCGCGATTGTTTAGAGAGAGAAAGAGAGAGAGAGAGAGAAGAAAAAAATATAAATCCGAATCGAAAAAAAAAAGATTTCTTTTTTTTTTTTATAATCTTCACGACAACCTGTTTTACCGATCGAGCTAACCGGGCGATAAAATAAAAACGACGAGTGTCGAAACGACGACCGCGTTAAAAAATGTAGTTATTTCTAGAATTCAATTCCTCCATAATATAATAGTTTGATATAATATATTTTGATGATCAAATATATAATTTTAAATATTACTCTTTTTACATTTAATATCGTAAAAAATGTATCGCATAATGTATATTGATGTTATAATAGGTCGAATTAAACAATACAAAAGTGACAGGGCGATATAATAATAAAAAGTGTAGTACTTTAAGGAACATGTTGTATCATCGTGAACATCGTCGAATGTATTCGATCGAAGAATATCAGAAAAATGTGTTTCCAAACGTCGAGCATCCCTTTTCTTATTTCATCCTTCCTCCTCCTCCTC